CGAGCACAGCCTCGTGGTGCACCGGCTCTCTGGGCCTGGTGGGAGGACGTGGGGCCGCGTGGGAGTGCATGAGTGGGACACCGGGATGAGAGGCGGCGGGTGAGTGAGCGTGGCTGGATGGGGATTCAGTGAGGGTGGGTGATGAGGGGGCTGTGGAAATGACTGGGACAGATGAATTTGGGGACACCTCATAGAGTTCTTAGTGTCTACAGAATTCTGTAATTTGGGGTTTCGCAAAGCTTGAGTAACTGCAGGGTCAGTTCTTAAGAGCCACTGAGTCGGTCCCAACTCATAGAGACCCATGATAGACTTTCCTAGGAGCAGTTGGTGGGTTTGAACAGGCGGCCTTGTAGTTATCAATCCAGTGTTTACCCTATAATACCATACTAGGCGAGATTTAATGGACAGATTGAGTACCTGTGAACTGCAAGGTCGTTGGTTCAAACCCACCAGACGAAACCTCGGAAACCCCTTACAGGGCCATTATGAGTCGGAACTGACTCTCAGCAACTTAACAAGGTGAACATTGGACAGGGTATTTTGGGGGGAAGCCAGTTTGCAGTCTTGTGTCAGAGATGGGATGGTCAGGGGTTAGGGGTGAGGGAGTCACTGCCAGAGCTGCCTTTAGTGAGTGAGGGGTGCGCATCAGGGCTGATCTGAATAAAATTGGATCAGTGTGTATTTTACAGTGAGGGTTTGTTTGTATGACTAAATAGGACTCTGGTGACCGATGAATTGGATGTTGTTAAGTGTCTGTTGGTTGGCTGATTATGTGTGATGGAATTGGTTCCAACTCATAGCCAGCCTGTATAGGGTTTTCCAGGTTGTAAATCTTTATGAGAGCAGAAAGCCTCATCTTTCTTCTGCGGAACCGCTGGTAGTTTCGAACTGCTGACATTGAGGTTAGCAGCCCATCTAATAAGCTACCAGAGCTCCTTAAGTGCCTGTCGAATTCCATCATTTACGATTTGGCCGTTCTGTGGAGTCATTTCTGACTTGTAGCAATCTTGTACGGTTTTCCAGGAGCGGCTGGTAGGTTTTAACTGTCAGCCTTGCAGTTAGCGGTCCAGTGTTTACCGTACAGCACCACATCAAGACTCCATGACTTGGATGCTTTTAGGTTAGTCATTGTTGGCAATGGGAGAAGCCCTAGTGGTGCCGTGGTTAACCCGCTAGGATGCTGAGGTCAGCAGTTCAAACCCCACAGCTGCTCCCCTGCAGATTCTGAGTCCTAAAGATACACAGCCTTGGAAACCCTATGGGGCCACTGTACCCTGCCCTACAGGGTTACAGTGAGTTGGAATCATAATGGCAGGAGTTCTAGGATTTGTTTTGTGTGTGAATGATAAGGCCTGTTAGGGGCATTTTTTTAGAGGGGCGTAGAGGGCACCAGAGAACCAGTGGACTGTGGATTTCATTAACTTGAAGGGACTGACAGGGATGACCTGAAGTGAGTGGTCATGGTACCTTTCTAGGTCTTTGTTGCTGTTAAGTGACCTTAAGTTGGTTCTAACTCACAGCAGCCCTGTATAGTGTTTCAGAGGAGCAGCTGGTGGGTTTGAACTACCCACCTAGCGGTTAACAGTCCAGTGCCACATCAGGAGTTCTAGGTTTGGTTGGTGGTGTTAAGTGCCCTAGAGTCAGTTCCGACTCACAGAAACCCTGTATAGGGTTTCCGAGGTTCAAACCGACCTTATGGTCCAGTGCTTGTCCTGGAGTGCTATACCGGGCTTTGTTTGGAGGTCTTGCACTAGAGGCATCAGAGATTAGTGGACTATAGGTCAGGGTTGTCCTGTTGAGGTGGCAACTGGGGTAGTAATTGGAGGCCTTTTGGTGAGAGTCATGGCAGGGGACCTGGGATGTCAGTGTTGGTGGAGAGCTGGAAGCTCTTTCAGGGTAATGATTAAGAAGCCATGTCTTAGAGGATGATGAGTAAGCATGGGGTGAGTCAGAGAACAGGCTGTCATGTGGGGGGAATACTTGGGGGGGCCTGTGGGATGGGTAACTTGAGGCAGCTTATGGTGAAAAGAGGCAGTGACCCTGAGGTTGTCAATGTTGGGGTTCAGTGAGAGTAGTCACCCTGAAGGTGACTGAATGGATGATTAAGGATAGAGTGCATGGACTTCTAGAGAAATCTTTTGGAATTCAGCATTTGGGGCACATTTTTGGCCTGTGAATAGACAATTTGTGTTGGTTCTTAAATAAATCATTGGCATGTCTTGGGATCACTGTTTAGAAGACTGGTTCTTCTTCTTTCTGAAATCTTCTGTAGCTGTACATATGGACTATTCTTCACCCACACACTGTCAGGTCTGTCGATTCCCCCAGGAGAACCGCTCCATAGAGTTTTCAAGGCTGGGACCTTTCAGAA